TTTTTTTGACGATGAAACAAGGAAAAAGAACAAGTAAAAGGACATTTTTATCTCATCCTTTCCAAAACATATAAATACAATCCTATAAGGATTCTTTGTTGGAACGAGAAGAACACAGAAACAATAACAACAAGTATACACCTAGTTAATATATATATATATAGATATGTATAAGACAGTGAATATATGCATGCGAAAAAGAAAAGAAAAACAAAACACACACACAGTTATTGCGGAAGTAAAAAGTCGGTCGTTGAACTCGCTGTCGACACTGAATTCGTTGGATTGCTTTGATCAGTAATTGTAGCTTGATCTATATTCATATCATTCGTCGCTCCAGGATTTTTCATCACCGTGACAAGACCCCCGAATTCGTCGAACCGAAATGGAGTTGTGTTATTACTGGCGCAGATTAACTATAAAATAAAATATGTTTATTAAAGATGTTTTCACTCCTTCACAATGATAACAATGTTTAATCAAGAAGAAGAAGTACGAGTAAGACAGACCTCCGCACGACCGCGCGATTTTATTTGTTGATGAATGTTTCCGTTATTCGCTGAATCAAGAATTACTACCTATATTGAAAAGAAAAATTTATGAAGCGTCTAGGAATTTATCAAAGAAAAGTACTCACATCCATTCGATGCTTTTCCGTGATATGTTTAATGAATTCGTCTACATTACTTTGATATCGACGACATAATCCACATTGAAATCTAGTAGAAACAAAGATAGAAGAAGATGACGTTGATCTTATCACTTTACTTCGTGTTTGGATTTGAAAGCAGTGCGTCATTGGATAAGAGAACAGGTGTATTCGATTGTCCAGCATGATTATGATGTAAATGTCGCTAAATAAAAACAGATTTCACTCGGCATTCTTTTCTCCCTTTCATATCTTACTTTCAAATTTGTTTTTTTATCTGTTATATACGAACAGAACGTGCACACATGTGCTGAATCATCCAATTGTAAGTGTTCACTTTTGACATGTTCATTCAAATGATAGAGTTTTGTCGTTGAGAAAGGACATTTTTGACAAGTAAACACGCATTTCGATATGACTTTGTAACACTGTGGAACAGTGCCATGGGGCGGTGCTATATTCGGCATATCCGAATTCTGAAACAGATAATATAGAGGAAAGTCTTTTACCCAATAACATTAGGATATCTTTCATTAATGAGACAAATAATGTCTTGAAGAACTTTTCAAGCATCTAGTACGGTCTGATGAGTTTTTTTTTAATATTAACATCAGACTTATAGAACTACTCCACTCGAGACCACTGATATTTTTCCAAGCTTCTATCGCGCAGCTATATGAACGAAACCTTCGTATGATGTCAAATAGCAACTTACGCGTTTCAAAAGATCTGATCCAAATAATCGATTTCCTCGTCCAATTTGCGGAATATTTAATTTATGTATGGATGTTAAATGACGCTTAAGATGTTCCATTTGATAAAATTTGTTATTACACTTAGGACATTCATAATTTCGTTGTCCTTGATGATAGAGCATATGACGCTAAAACAAAACATAATCAGATCTAATTATACAGCAGGCTACTTTCTTTTACTTTCAATTTTGAAAAACTTTTACAATTGTATGGACACAGATTACACTGAAATTTGTTTGTTTGACTTGAATGACTATAGATATGATTTTGAAAGTCCTATGAAAAACAACCAAATCGAGCTTATTTCTATAATACTGACAATAATGGCGCATATTACCGAATAATCATGAAATACAGTATCACATTTGTTGCATTTCCATTCTTTTTTATATGTTTTTGGTAAGTTATTAAGAATATCAAGTCCTTCGATATCCCAATGTCGACGAGCCATGTGAATTTTAAGATCGGCATTGGTTGCAGCCATGAACGAACAGTAAGGACATGGAATCGATCTAAAGGAAAATCATAGTATATCATTCTCTCCTGGCATTGTCTTACTTTTCTAAATGCTTATGTGCCATGTGACGTTTTACATGTGTAGTTGTACAACCGCGGTAATGACACAGTGGACAAGCAAAATCTTTGCCTTCACTACCCATGTGAACACGTAAATGTCGTTTCATGTTTGCGATACCAAGAAATTTCTTTCCACAATGATCGCAAACGAAATCGAATGGATCAAGTTCTAAATATATGACAATGAAGATCACGGAAAATGTCCGATTTCGATCGTGCTATACCAGCATGTTTCTTTGCATGTTTTATCGCTTCAGATTTCGTTGTAAATGCTTCTCCACATTCGTGTACTTTACAACAATAAGAATGACTCATTTGATCACCTTCCTGTTAAAGGAAAAAGATGGACTTTACGAAAGAAAACTATCGATTTTACTTACGTCAGTTCCTAACGGATCATTCTCATTCTCATTTGGGTACGACTGTGATTCGAAGAGACTTTCGATGAATCTCATATACATTTCGGGACATTGTTTAAATGAATGCTTGGATACAATTGCTGAACGGTTAAAATCGAAAAATTCTTGCTCGTCTTTGAAAACAACCTTGAAAAAGACAAACGCAGATTCTCAATAAATGAAGAAAAAGGAATGTGTGCATTTACTTTTAAAATATGTGCTTGTAAATCACCACGACGACATTCTTCGAGTACTAATCGTCCTAGATTTCTTTCAATCGCATCAATTAAGCGTTTCGCCGAGTTTTTATCAAGTTTGACGGAAACGACACGATTGCCTCGTTCATCACATACGAATGTACGTCCTTTACGATTAAATAAATCACTATACTGAAACGAAGGTTCGAATTTGACATCGCTATCAGCTCGTAATGAACCCATGACTAAATCGGGTAATTGAGCAGCATGATATCCAGGTCCACCGGTTGATGACAAATGTGCATTGTCTTCATCGAAGTTAGACATTTCATCTTCATCGAAATCTAGAACACGATGAATCGACGCTAATTCATCGTCATTCAAATCCATTCCAAGTTCGTCGTCAGAATCGAATGTGCCATTGAATAAATAAGAATCATTATCAAATTTATTCGACGAACGTGATGTCGTTGCTTGAGTACTATTACGTTTCGTTGTTGTTGTTGTTGTTGCCGCTGTTGTTGGCTGTGGTGTCTCATAATCCATCGAATCAATTGATGATTGATGTGGACGTATGCGTACAATCGGTTTCGTATCATCGTTAGTACTTGTTTGGGATGTTGGTATGTCTTCGAATGTTGATGACGATGAGATTTTGACTTTATTATTTGGTAGCATTAAGACATCGACAGATAATTCATCGTGTGGATTCGATGTATGATCGTGTAGAGGACGATAGATGATATCAGCGTCGACTTTGTAACGTTTCGAGGAAATAAACGAATCATTCAATCGTTCGATAAAAACCGCGCAAGGTCGAACGAAATGCTGCTGATTTTTCTGCATGACAATTTTCTTGGAAATCTAAAAGATTCAATTTCGTTTTCTAACGTTCAAATTCAATATCCAAGGAAACGAGAATAGGCAGCCACGACAGTTTCCTCTTGGACACAATATTTGATATTTCTAAAATAAATATGCCTAGCTCCCTCTGTTATGTGTATTGATGAGACAGAATTTTTTGTTCATGACTGAGGATTACTCAGATGAGATTTCATTGGTGAGTACGATATTTTGTTGGAAATTTTTTAAAGAACTTTCCCTGTAATAATAAAAGAGTTTTTCACCTGATTGTGTAGTTAAGTTGGAAATAAATGTAACTTTACAGTGACATCTATCCGAGCTGATTATTTTGTCAAGACCGTATGATCAAACGAAAAGTTGTTAGAATTAGAATGCTTTCATTTTTTTTCTGTGATTACAGAAAAACGAATTTTTTTTATGTTAAACATCAGGTGAATTCTATTTTTTGTTTTGAATAGTCATGTTCTACGATGATAATGATTATTCATCAGATGATGATAATCGATTTCATGCTGTATATCGTTGTTATTCTCCAGCGTTTTTGATCGATCGTGAACAAACCACCATTGAACATGGAGGAAAAATTTTACTACCCCAAACCGCACTGGAACAGTTAATCGATCAAGTAAAACTTCAATTAGTTAATGATACATTCGAATGACATGATCGATTTTTAGGCTAGGATAATGTTATTTAAATTAACAAATCGTAAACAAAATCGTAGTACGCACTGTGGCGTTTTAGAATTTTTGCAGAGCAGTGATCCCGTTTGCCATATACCGTACTGGATGATGCGGCATTTATCATTGAATGAAGGTGACGTCATACACGTTGAGTGTATCACGTCTATGCTACCGGCAAGTTTTGCTCGTTTTCAACCGCAGTGCAAAGATTTTTTAGATTTGAGTAATCCGAAAGCTGTTTTAGAGCGAGTTCTGAGAAGCTTTAGTTGTTTAACAAAAGGCGACCTGATATCGATTAATTACCTCGGCCGAAACTATGAATTGGCTGTTCTGGAATTAAAACCAGCTGATGTCGTTTCAATTATCGAATGTGACATGGAAGTGGACTTTGCTCCTTCTCTTGATCAAACTGAATCCAAATCAACATCGACAACCACGAACCATCAAACATTAGCTAAGTCCTCCTCAGCATCTGCCCCATTTCACGGACCAGGTAATCGTTTGAATGGAAAGCTTAAAGATACAGATCAAGAAGAACAACAACGTCATGCTGAAAGTTCACATAGACGTGGACAGCCGAACTATGATTATAAATGGGGTTTATTACAGTTTCCACGCGCACCGTTACACGGTTTAGATAATGATATGAATGAAATCTTCGAGAGAAATACTTCAGCTATATTTCAACCATTTACAGGCGAAAAAAAAATACTTAGACAACTACGAACGGAACAACCAAAATAGAAGAGAGAAGTGAATGGAAAGAAAGTGACTGCCTTCTTTGCTTCACGTAAATAACTTATTCCTAAACTAGAAAGATTGGTATGTAGGAAGAATCCGAATAAATTCTTTTTTTTTCTTGTTTGTGCTAAACTTCTTTAACATAATGATCGGAGACCAGATGAAACATGACCATTTGTTAGATCGCAGAGAACGCGTCGAAATTCATCGTCAGAACAGACACGAATTGTTTTCGAACTACACGAGGGGTTAATCGAGTAGCATGATGGAAGACAATCGTAACTTGATGAACGACAATAACGATTCCATGATGGAACACAGTCGTAACTTGATGAACGACAGTAACGATTCCATGATGGTATTATATCGGTCGTCGTAACACATCTGTCTGCGCATCGGTCCACGCATCTATCCTCACATCGGTAACAATCGTCATAACATTGACGATAACTATAGTCACAATCAGATACGACTTCTTTGCAGTAATTGACAGTTGGTTCACAGCATGACGGGACATAGCTATAGGATGAACAGCGAGGAATCGATGTTGGCGCTCGTACTCTTTCCCACGTACTTGATTCGATACAAGGAGTTCTTGCGCGTTCATATCTACCCGGACAATGTTCATGATATCGATCGGTAAATGTTCCGAAGGGTGGTGGAACAGCACGAGATGCTTCACTAACCAGATGAGCATGTTGTGAATTTGATTCCCATCTGTTCAGCTCACCTCCGTATTGTCGAATGTAACAGTCTGGATCAGCTCGAACAACTCCTTGGTTTATATATTCTTTACGAATACATGCTCGAGGTCCGTCATGTAGAATCAGTAAGTTTGGTTCTCGTTCGGATCTAATTAGTAAGCAAAGAAGTAGATAAGAAAAACGACAGTGACGAGCGACTTACACGCATGGTGGCGGTGCTCGTTCGACCACAACGCGCCGTTCACCAGTCTGTTTGTAAGGTAACCAACGCTCAATGATAACATCTTGAGGTTTAGGTGGACAAGCACCATAGCGTTCAACAATAACAGGACGCGGTCCTCCTGGTAATGGAGGTAATAGTTTTTCTACTACTTTAGGAGCTTGGGTTTCTGGAGGCGGAGGAGGTCGTTCTCGAAGTACCTTAAGAAACACAGAAAACAGAACATTTTGCTAAGAAATCGATACTAGTTATCGTACCAACGGAGGCGGAGTCGGCAAGGGTGGAGCACGTTGTTGGATCTAGAAATAATATTTTCAAATAGGCAATGAGAGAACAGATTGCGCATACTTTGATCGGAGATTGTGGTGGCGGTGGTGGTGGTTGAACTTCACCTGTAGGAAAAGAAATGCATAGAGGAAAGAGAGAACCATTGAGGAATTTTTTTTCTATTTACGAATAATTAGCGGTCCTGGTGGTGGGGGCGTTGGTGGTTGTAAATATCTTACTGACACATTTTGTCTGTATGTAACAGTATTATTCGGTAGAGATTTTCGAACAATCAATGGTGGTGGTTGCTGATGTTCGACTCGCTGAATTATATCATGCTGTTGTCGCTCTGTTAGTACAGTTTGATTATCATGATACCTATTTGTAGTGACCAAAGCGTTATTTTCAACTGATCTATCTGTTAAAGCTAAAGCGTTTTCAGCGACCGATTCATTGTTCGCAAACGTTACATGTCCGCCAGTTGCTCGATTTTTAGACAGTGATGTACTTGTATATTCGTCACTATTTCCTGTGTAGCCTGCTGAGAATCGATTCACTGCAGATGCATTGAATACACCAGCGTTAGTATTATATTCCGAATAATTACTACTGTATGTAGTCTTCGATTCCAATAATCTACGTTCTTCGTCGGTGAAAACAGGAGAATTTGAATGGATGATTTGACTACGCCATCCTACTGGAGCAGCAAGAGGTGCGGGTAGGGCTTGAAAAACGATTGATTCTGCGTGTGTTGTTATTCGATTAGCTGGTGCTGATGAAATGAAATTAGATGCCACATATGTGTTATCGTCCGTTTCCTGTGTTTGATACGTATTGATGTCGGATGAAATCATTTTCTTCTTCTTCAGACCTATTTAAATCAAACAACTCTGTTTATATCATAGCGAAATACAAAACGAATATTCGGGTAACGCAAGTAAGATATTTTTGAAAACGATAATCCGAGATAGACACACGAATCAAGGTATAATTGAGAATATGTTGTGTCGAAGAAATAGAGAAATGATTGATAGTTACGAACAAACGAATAGAAAGGTAACTATTGAGAAGGAGAGAACCAAGGACACAGGATTATACATATTATATACGATGGACAAGGTTTTCCTATCGAATGACACGTAGTATGTTTGATCGACTGCATAGTCTTTGTTTAGCATACGAAAAAAGAGCAACGTACCAATCATCTTAGGATGGTTTGTGGTGACTTTCGTGTTTCCTTCTTGAAAAATATAATTCAGGAGTAAACGAATCTAAAATCAAAGAATAGCTGAGACATGCTGGCCTTCTCGCTTCAGTGCATGCGCTTCTTTTCAATATACAAATAGAAAATAAACCTTGTTAATTACTAATCAGAAGGAAACACAGATACGTTGTCTCCTTAAAAATAGAAAATAAAAAAAACCGTTTAAGCTACGAACATCCATCGTAAAATCATCTCAGCATCTGATTATCACATGGAGATAACCGTCTAATCTTCAATTCATTGTACTGTACCTAATTTTCATCTTGATATCGAACGGATCTTTTCAATCACTCCTACGTCATACTTGATTTATCAAGAATATTGATGCCAAGGTCATTCATCCATAGAATCAAGTATGATTTAATCGAAAGATGGGCAAGAAAGGAAAAGTTTCGCGAAAAAATTTAATGAAAACAAAATGTTTTTGATCTTATCTGACCAATGAATAATAATGTAATTGTTTTTCGTTTCAGATAATTATGCTAAAACCCAAAGCATTGAAAGAAGTACTTGCGCAAATGACTAACGGTGGAATTCAGTCAACTGTGTATGTTGCTTTAGTTGATAAAGTTTTTCTGTTCAAATAAGTTTTTCTTTCGAAAACTAAAGATTATTGACACGGGATGGAGCACTACTTGCTTATTCAGGATTCGAAGCGAAAGACGCGAAGATCATTGCTGCAATGGCTAGTAGTATTTTTGCTGCCCATCAACGTGTTCGACAAACACCTAGTTCAACTGTTCCACAGAATATTGTGGGCTCAGGTGATTTGAATATGGTTTTATTGGACGCTGACGTACGTTGAAATTATCGTTGTTTATCATAAGATTCATATTGTTCCTCTTTGCATTCAGGAAGGAAAAATGGCTATCGCTGCTGTTGCTACTCAATTAGTTTGTATGGTGTCAAAGACTAATGTACAATTAGGAATGCTAAAGGCTAAAGTAATATTTGATATAAAATATGACTACGTCTTCACATTGAGTGTTTGTAGATGGACGCATTGTCCTCGTACCTGCAAGAGCCGTTACGTCAAGTATCGCAGAGCAATAACTAATTTTAATGTTGAAACTTTGGATGATTTCGTTTACTTTTCTTTGTCTTGATGTTTGCTTTTTTTTCCTGTTACTGTAAATGATACATCTTCCGGTCAAGATCAGTTTGATTTCTCGTGTTTATTATGTCATGGAAAAAGCGAGAGAGAAAAGAAAAAAAACGAGGAAAACCTCGGAACAAAATTTTGATTTGCTAAATTTTTTTATAGATTATTTTTTTATGTACATATTTAACAAATTGAATAATAACCACCGTCGACAGAAGAAAGACGACGGATAAAAAATTCAATGGAAGACGACTGTGAAGTTTTAACTGCTGAGAATGAAGACGAGCATGATCCACTTATTGCTGAAGTAGGCAAACAACCTTTAAGAAAAGCTAAGAATCACTTTTTGGTTTAGATCGACATCCACTTGACACGTTTATTCGCTGACCAACTCTATTTGTTTCAATATCCACTTCGTCCCAATCATCTCCAATATGAACACAACGCCACATTTATCGGTGCACGTGTTAAACCTAAAAATAAACTCGTTCAACTAGATTATGTTCTTGACACTCAATCGAGTTTTCACTGCAAAACAAAAGAATCAACAAGTATCGAAAATTGGACTACAGCATCATCCGCAACAGCAACGAACTCTACTGAGAAAATCAATTCGTTTGATCGTTTAACATTATCGTCAACTAATCTAACAGCGGGCGATAATTATAAGCGTTTTGCTGTCGGCCTTCTCACGCCCAATGGCATTCAGTTATCTCCATTGAATGCCGTCTTTCAACTACGGCCAGATTTTGATTCGACTTCATCTGTTCTCGTTCAACAATCGATCTCACTCAATGATGATGACGAAGAAATTGATCCAAATTTCCCTAAACAATCAAGCTCAAGCACGGACGATACGACAACAGATGAGGAAACCAATGACAAACACATGAATGAACTTGTGACGATGAAATTCTGGCGACCAGAAGGTCGTCTACAACGTGAGAAGAAGCTGCGCTCTTACAACTATATTGAGCGTGCACGAAATGAAGAGCGATGGATCGATTTCGCATATTATTCATCGAATGAGTTACAGTCAATGGAATTGATTCGTAGATGGTTTCAAATGGATGGCATTGAACGGAATCGATTGCCTATTCGATGGAGGAAAACAATACCTATTCATGACTATTTTCAAATCTTATTTTTCGGTACACAATCCTCGCTAGAACTTTCCGTTGAAAAAGAGCAAAGTCAAATGGAATCAAATAATAGTACAGAACAAAAACCATTGATTGTCCCACCGACTAGGCCAAAAAAGAAGAAAAAAACTGAAACAAAGAAAACTCCGACGACAAGAAAAAGTAAGCATTAAAAAGTTTCCTACACAACAATCGAGAGATATTCTCTAGGCCGAAGTCGAAGTCGAAAATCAACTGATTCTATTCCGACATTGAATTCTGAGCAGCAACAGCAATCTCAATTATCAACGACGAGCATTCCCCTATCGTCTGTATCTTTACCCAACACCATAGTCAAACAAGATCCCGAAACAATACAGAATGAACTATTATCGTTTATGAAACGACGGTTTGGTTATCGACCATATTTTAAATTCAGTGAAATCAATATTGGTAAGAGCAAACAGTTGATCGAATCATGTTTCGAGAAGTTTTCTTTGTCTAGCAATAAAACTTGAATTGATCTCATCACCACCTGGACATCCACTTGCATCAGGAGTTACCGAAGCGAGTATACTCCGAGCGGCTGCTGGAATCGGAGCTATTTATGTGAATAAAAAGGTCAATTGAACGCTAGTCTTGGAAATTTAAGATGATCTACTTTCATTCTTTTGTTACAGTGGCCAAAAAATCTCAAACAAGAGCCGGTTTTCATTAATGCTCAAATGGGCGATAAATATGATGTGGTAAGATCGTAGTTTCCAAGAGAGTTTTTCATCAACGAATTCTACTCGTTTAGCTTCGGCGTTACGTCGCTGAACTACTAGAGAAATGCGATAGTTTTCAATTTACGGAATTGCGTTCCCGAATCAAACAAGAAAATCAAACCCAACAATTTCCTGTACATGAAGTGAAAAAATTTGTTAAAGTAAGATATTCGACTAGTGAGGTATCAATACGTTTAAAATTCTACTTTAGGATCATTGTATCGCTCGTTCTTCACGTAAAGGTGTACTCTACTGTGTAAAAGGCACGTTGGTCAAGTAATGCAATCTCTTTTCCCATTGTACAAATATGCATAAATCCTCATGTTCTTATCTCTAACTATGTACAACACGTTCTTAGTGTTTCTCTGCTATTAATTATTTCATTATATGACTGTATATGTACATCATCTACTGAACAAAAAATAAATCGATAAATGCGGCGCCGTTGCAGCACCTATCAACGATGGAAGATTTGCTGATTGTGACTCTTCTTTTTATTTTTATTTTGTTTTCTTGTCGATGTCCATCATTCACCTGAGTAGGTTACATCGCGCATACAATTGTTGGTCTGCTTTTTCTTATACAAATATGCACGACTAGACAACAGAAGATTTGATGTTATAGTGAAGTTGAAAAATTCGATGTAGTCGCGCAAAGTCCAGAGGCCCAAGAAGAAGAAGAAGAAAGAAAGAAAAACGGTAAGAAGAAAAAAGAAAGAATGAACGGAGAAAATCAACATCAACAACAACAAAAAATGAAACAGAGAACTACAAGAATCATCAACCGGCAAGATCCGTCACGTGTACATACATACTAAGTTTTGTTTTCGTTATTGCCAGAAAAGAAAAAGACTTTGGATCATACTCTCGTTGTAAGCTTTACAAAAGAGAGAGCAGATCCATACAAAAGGAAAAATAAAGAAAGAAAAAGTGAATTGTTTTTTAAAAAAAAAAGTGTTTGTATGTGTATGTCTTCTTTTCAGATGAGAAACAATCACTGCAATAGAAAGAAAGGAAATCAATAGCGATAATGATATCCATTATTATTCTGTCGATAATAAAAATCATCATTGCCTTGCTGGTGTCGATAATTATTATTATTATTTGATCGTCTATAACCACCACCGCCGGCACTTCCTCGGCCTCTTTGTCTTTGATATCTATCATTACCAAATGTATCTTGATTTCTTGAACGATTGTACATAGGTCCGGAAACATCACCCGTATCTTCGAGGGCCATATTATCAAAAAAGGATTTCTTCTTGTCGTAGACGGATTCAAAATCAGCGTTTGAGTCATGTTTCTCATTCAAGTGTAAGAAATCATCGGGTGACTCCGATTGTTGTTTAAATTCTTCTTCACTTGTAATTTTATTGAATTTACGATTACTTGTTTCGAAATCAAATTCTTTATCATAATTATTACTATGATCGTGAAACGTTTCACGATTTCCACCACCGGGACGTCGTTGTTGATAGCTCATAATTGGCGGACGACGATGATTATACGATGATCTTTGCTGAAAATTCATATGTCCATTTTGATAACGATTTGTTGGTTGCAATGGTACATCTTCAGAATGAGATCGATCATTCGAAAAAAATGGCTGACGAACAGGTAGTCCACTGTCATCTTCAGGTTCATTAAAACGATTCTCATGCTGACGTGATGTCTGAGTTGAATGGGTATTCGATGGCCAACGTTGTTGAGGACGAGTCGATTGTATTTGATCCGTATTGTTCAATGTGAACTCATCAAAGAATTTACTTTTTGCGTTGGATTGTTGAGAGTTTGGTTGATTATGATTCCAGTTGGACGAAGTTTGTAAAGACCAGGATGAACCAGATTCACCGGTACCAGTACGAAGATGAGATTCTACAGTAAAATTTCGAACATGATGTTGCATATTCGAATTAACAAACGAACTTACCTTCAAAATTTGATCCTCTATTCGAGTGACCATCGGATAGATTCATCTGTTGTAAACCATGGATTAATCGATTCGATGCCGACAAATCTTTATTCGACGAGCTGACTATCGCTGATACGATGGCTGGATCATCATGAATTGACGATTGTTTCGGAAGAGCAGGTTGTTTTGGTGGAGATACTATCGTAGGTGCAGAATAGGATGGTTGCTGTGCTGCTGGTTGTTGTACTGGTAAGGTTTCAGTCGGTTGTTCGTCGCCAACAATATTCAAATCTTCAATATCACTATTAGCAAATTGCATGATCGGTACCGTTGTTCCAACCATTTGATTATTCAAAAAATTTCCTCCACGATTTTCCGTGCCAAAGCATTTGACATTGCCAAGAAGTATAGATGATGCTTGAGCATCGATACCTAAGCGAAGAAGAAATCGATTGGATGCAATGTAGGAAATGAAAATTTTGTTTATTACCAATTATCGTCCCAGTATATCGGCATTGAGATTTTGTGATAATCGCAATTTTACTACCGATGAAATTACCCGACATAATAATAACTAGACGTGAAGATTACGATGAAATAAAGAGAAAAAAAACACACGCACTAATAATAACTTATTCCGTTTGTTTATTATTCTCCCGTTGGATCTTTGTTTGATGCTTAATTTACTACTGGCGGCATCTACTGGGAAAAATCGTTCTCGTTACAGAAACACGTTTCCTAACTATTATTGAACATTCGCTGAGAATTTACCTGTTCATAGCCTTTGTTGATAAATATTCATCAGCAATTATGATTCGTCGAAGTGATAAAATATGGACCGTATCGGTGTGCATACGCATTTGAAATTGAAAGATAGCTTTCATTAATCTTACAGTTTTACTTGCGTGGATAAACAAACGATGGATGCTCGTCAACGAGCTAAACTCGACGAGTATGTCGACCCAGAATTTATCGATAGTTCCGCTGGAGTTTTCCCTCTCACCATTATTATGTCATTTTTGGTCGTTTTTGCGACAATAGCCATCCTTTGGTGGGCAAAAAACCGTTCAAGAGCAGCTCGTCGCGGCGAATGTCTTCTTTTATGTGGCATATCCAATGCTGGTAAAACCTTACTTTTTAGTCGTTTGACAATGGGTGTAGCAAAACGAACATTAACGTCGATGGCTGTCAATCGTGGTTCCATGACTTTGGAAAACTCATCATCCGATCGTCCGGTGAAAAAGGTTCGTGTTATTGATGTTCCCGGTAATTTACGTATTCGCCAACGTGATTTTAACAGTGAAAAAGCATCAGCCAAAGCAATCATTTTTGTTATCGATAGTACAACTATTAATAAAGACAGCAAAGACGTTTCCGATTATCTCTATGATATTTTACGTGAAAAAACCTTTCGTCAACAACGTTTACCATTACTAATATTCTGCAACAAACAAGATCTCAATAACGACAATGAAACCACTCAATCAATTCGGCAATTGCTAGAAAATGAATTAACTATGAAACGCAAAACACGTACATCATCGGTTGCTGTCCATCAAGGCAAAGCTGAATCAGCTGATGATATTGGTCGACCCGGCAAAGATACATTTGAATTTAACGATGTGAAAGATCTTCAGATTGAATTTGTCGACGGCTCATCGTTAGGCGCGGAGAAGAAATCTTATGCCAAGCATTACGATGATATTGACGAAGACGATATTGTTAGTACTGGTGATGAAACCGATGCCGATAGTGGAGCCAATTTAAATAAAGTCTATGATTGGATTGAAAAGATCTGGATAAAATAATCGAAGACAATATTTTATGTTCTTTTTTTTCTGTCATTTTTTTTCGAATCATTCGTTATCATCAAAAAGAAAACTAAACAGTCGTTAATTTTATTCTAGATGACTAGATTTGCCAGACATAAGAAAGCGAGAAAACCAATTGGAGAAGACGCAACATCATGGGAAGATATGAAAGAAACAATGACCGCCGGCGATAAACGAAAGGAAGAAAAGCGTTTGGAAAAAAAACGAAAACGAGAATTGAAAAAGATCTGTTTTCGATGTCGAACACCAGGACACTCGATGAACGAATGTACGGCGGAAGTAGCTGACGAACAGAAGAAGAAACGTGAAGTCAAAACTGGTATTTGTTATAAATGCGGATCAACGGAACATCGATTACAGCAATGCACAGTAAAAGGTGATTCATTTGCCTATGCAACATGTTTTGTATGTGGCAAACAAGGACATTGGTCACGTTTATGTCCAGACAATCCCAATGGCTTATATCCCAATGGTGGATGCTGTAACGAATGTGGTTCGAAACAGCATTTCAAAAGAGATTGTCCCACATTGATGAAGAAACAAGGTGAGTTCGAGTAGTTGAGATGATGATTTGGTTACTATATATTTTCTTAGGTATTGATGATCAAGAACTACCTTGTTTGACACCTACAACTAATAATATCGATGACAATGTTGAATCGTCAAAAGAGAAGACGATTGTAAAAGCGAAGAAACCGGCAAAAAGACTGAAACTTGTTAAATTTTAATTTGTTATGTACTAACTAATTTTTTGTTTTTTTGACTTTTTTCTAGATAAATAAAATGAAAATCGCTATAGAAGGTTGCTGTCACGGTGAATTAGATCGTATCTATGAAACGATCAATCAAATTGAGACGGAACGACAAATAAAAATTGATCTACTACTAATCTGTGGTGATTTCCAATCTGTACGTAATGAACATGATTTGCAATCAATGGCTGTGCCACCAAAATACCGATCCATGCAAGATTTCTGGCGTTATTATTCTGGAGAAAAACGTGCGCCGGTACTAACAATTTTTATCGGCGGTAATCACGAAGCAAGCGATTTTCTCGTTGAATTACCATATGGTGGTTGGGTCGCACCGAACATATACTACATGGGTTATGCGAATGTTGTTAATTTCAATGGCTTGCGCATCGGTGGCCTATCAGGAATCTATAAGCCGCAAGATTACAACTTAGGACGTTATGAATTACCTCCATTTGACGAAAAAACCACTCGTTCGATATATCATATACGAAGTTTAGATGTTTACAGGATGAAACAAGTACAACAAGGTAAACTCGATATTATGATGTCACATGATTGGCCGCGAGGTATTGTTTGGTATGGCGATACACAACGTTTATTACAGCGTAAACAATATTTTCATGAAGATATATACACGAATAAACTCGGCAGTGAACCACTCGAAGAAGTTTTACTTCAAGTTCAACCGAGATATTGGTTTGCCGCGCATTTACACGTGAAATTCGCGGCTTTAGTAGAGCATACCAACGGACAATCTACACGTTTTCTCTCTTTGGATAAGTGTTTACCAGGAAGAGACTTCTTACAAGTAAGTAAAGAAATATGCGAAGAAAGAGTTGATTAGAGTTTCTATCGTAGGTTCTTGACATTGAACCAACAGTTCCAGCAACTAATCCAAACAATCGCTTATCTCTTGATCCCGAATGGTTATGTATTCTAAGTAAAACTGATCATCTCTTGCATGTCCAAAGAACTAATATCTTCTTACCATCACCGTCACAAATTTCGTTCGCTCCAACAGAAGAAGATTATCAGAAAATTCATGACGACTTTTCGAATACCTTCGAGATTCCGGAGATGTTTGCTCCGACAGGTCCTGTACATAGACCAGGTTCAGGCAATACTCCAATTGATGTTGAACAATTGCGAAAAAACAATCCTCAAACAGAGTTATTATGTCTTATGCTTGGCATACGAAATCCGATTGATGTTATTCTTAATCGACAGATTCAACCTGCAACATTAGATCAAAGCAATTAAATGAATCATTTTGTATATAAATATAGATATTTTTTATACAAGAAAACTGAGATATTATTCGTTTAGAACGTATTTTGGATTAAAAAATCCTTCGTAGGAAAATTTAGTTTTCTTGTATTCGAGAAGAAACACCAAGTCAATTTTCATTCTTTTTCTCTCTTCAGATGTAATTATTACCGTATCAACTAATCTGTTGGTGTTCGAAGAAGATTATGGAGAGCGACGAAGTGCTATGAAGCGAACTAGACTTCCTTTGTATCTTGTGCATATTTTGGGTGAAAGGTCTTATAAAATAATTGCACTTAAGTAAATATTTGCACTACGTCTTTGATCAATAAAAATCAAATTCTGAATCATGCATTTTCTTTGTTGTATTTGGAGCATATTCACTTTGATAACTGGCTTGTGCTCTTTGATTCTTACGCTACAAATCACTAATTTCTTGTTTTTGCACCATATTTCTAGATCTATTACTAATACGGCTTGTCTTCGTAGTAAATAAATAATCATACAAAATAGCCTAATCTATACTTTCGTTTTTTCTTTCCTCGCTTTAAATACACATAATCTCCTTCGTCACGTCCTTGAAGAATCAGCAAAAACAACACACAATGCAATATATATATAACAGGTCAAAAAAGTATGAATAATAACTTATTATTTTATATCTGATGCTATGTCAAACGAACTAGTTGACGATAACGACGATTTATTATCACTTGATCAGATATCAAAAGAAACAGTTACCTCGTTAGTATCAAACGGACCACCGCTCGTCAAAAGCCCACAAGATGCAGCCGAAATCCTTTTCAATCCACCAAAACATCATTTACGATCGCGTGTCTCGTACGAAATTCTTGATCGTGAAGTCACCGAAAACGATTTGAACATAGCTGCTGAATATGGTCGTTTCCCCTATCGACCAAGTGAATTATTTCTTAAATTATTTCACAACGTTCTATGTACTTTAAGACGAAATCCGTTAGCGGGATGTGTGTCTCCCAGTTTAACTGGTACGTCTGGCGTGATACCCTTAACAATTATTTCAACAATTCCGGATATTATGCAACATTATTATCATTGTATAATTCATGCACAGAAAGAAGTTCTTCTGGCAACGAATTTCTGGGAAAAGAGTGCAAGTGTTAATGTTATTGGGAAAGCTCTACGAGAATTGAGTAAACGCGCTGGAAACGATAATCGATATGTTATTGTTAAACTAATGATTGATCATCCAACAAAGGAGAATATCACAAAAGCCCATCATATTCTTCCGCCGAATAAATGGTCGCATTATGATATTCCATCTCCAGAAGAAATACCCAATATTTCATTACAAGTCAATAACTATCATCGAATTGTGATGGGTACATTTCATGCTAAGTTTATGATCGTTGATCGTCGTATTGCTTTGCTGAATAGTAATAATATCCAAGATCGGCCAAATCTTGAAATGATGTCCCATTTTGAAGGTGATATTGTCAATTCATTTTATGATACATTTTTGATATCATGGTGGGTACCGTTCGATCCAAACATTGTTTGTTTAAATGATCCAGCACGTGTCAAAATTCAATATCGATTTGGAATGAATAATGTAAAAATTCTATCAGTCAGACAGCCATTACGACAAGCAATTGCTCGAGCACGTTTGAGACTTCAATCTCATCTAGAAGGTGAAGAATCGGATGTTTATCTCCATGCGCCTTTGGCATGTGAAGACGATGAGAGCGTTTCAAGCTCAGCTGACAGAAAGCCAAGCGGCACTGGGTTTTCTCACGTTGCGGTCAAGGCACTTGTTAATCATCGACAAGAACATTCACCTGGAGTTCTTGTTAAAGCAACCAATGATCTCATTGGTGCTGTCGTCGGTTATGATTTGAATCCTCGTTCCGAATCTCCATTAACTCTTCATTTGAATAAATCGTCGAAATCAGCACATGAAACCAAATCCGATGAAAATTTATCGAATGAAGAATTAGATAGTCTAACATTTGATTTTAGTCCGTTTGTCTTTCATCAAGAACATAAAGCAATACCTATCGCTTTGGTGAATCGTGCGCCATATGGTACACCAGGTCATGTCGACACAGCAAATCCCCAGGATGCTGCCTGGATGGGCGCATTTCGTTATGCGAAAAAATCGATTTTTATACAATCGCCGACTTTAAATGCATCTCCAGCTATTGATGGAATTCTCTATGCTTGTCGACGTGGTATTGTCGTTACATTATGGCTCGATTTAGGTTTTAATGACTTAACTGAAGGTTTTGGTACATTCCAAGGAGGAACAAATGAACATGTTATTAAAAAAATCTATCGAAAATTACAAGAGAGCAATGACGGCGCTGATAAATATCTTCGTGTTTATTGGTACACTGGGAAAGGTGAGTGAGAAACATTTACGTAGAAGTTATCCATTTTTCAATCTGAATTATTTAGATCAAACTCGTCCTTTGAATTTTTCTCAAAAGAAACGTAATTGTCACATCAAATTCATGTCAATCGACGATCAGGTGGCTATTATGGGCAATGGAAATATGGACACTCAATCTTGGTTTCATTCTCAAGTAAAATTCTATTTACAAATGATTAGTTTCATTTTTGTTCTAACTGAAATAATTCTAGGAAATCAATGCAATGATTGATTCGTCGGTGATAGTCAAAGAATGGATGGATGCACTGCATAAAAATCAATCGACACATGAATATGGTCGAGTCGGTATAGACGGCATATGGCGAGATGATAAAGGCGATTTAAACCCAAACAATGGCAAATAATTTGATTGCATTTTCTTTTGTGTATTTGTAATATATTTCATCTGTTTGTGCACTTATTAATCAAAAAGACATGCATACTCAAAACTGTAATCGACTTCAAAACGCAGAAATTTTTGAAAGAAAAAGAACACTAATAAATAGTATAGAATATGGGCGTACTTATTGGCTGCAGTCCTCTCTAGTGATATATTTTTTATGAACATCAAAAGCTAATTGTTTTCAATGGTTTATTCGAATTAGAAACGAGATTGATTTGGAACACTATCCATATGGAAAGTTAAACAAAAGTTACATGATTTTTTTGTATATATAGGAAAGACAGAAGAAGGGTGTAACAGCAACAATCTTCAACGGTGTGCGTCAGAGAAGAGCCGCGTATCTACAACATGAGTGGATATACGTTTCTAATTCTTTTCCGGTGAATACACCTAGTACCTGGTTTCTTTATTCTTTCCTTCTCCTCTATCTCGCATGTAAACCCATGTTCACTCACTTTTTACTGATTCAATCAACGCGTGTGCGAGCACACCACACGCACCCTCACCCTTTGCTTGTGCTCGATTTTAGATGATTTTAACACTTTTCATCAATTATTTATTAAGTTTGTTAATCAACTTGACAATCGCGATTCATCGGCGGCATAGCGCCATCTGTTGTATTTAAGTTTTCAATCGTCATTTATCGCACAAATGTAAATCGTTTTCGATTGACATGATGAAATGCGGAATCCAGTTCGAATGCAAATGACTTGATAGATGAGGAAATGTGAAGAAATTTGCTCTTCTGTCCTTCAATAAATATCGACGTATGTTTTAGATGTTAGAGAAAGAAGTCTTCTATCAAAGAATTGTATGATTACATAAGTAGAAATTGAACCCTAGAGAAAATGATTATGGAATCTTCGTCGTCGAAGGAAAATGACATTGGACAAGAACAGCGTCGAATACGTTTATTAAACGATCCTAATTATGGGCTTGTTCTTTGTTTCTTGGATAAGTTTCGAACCGTACTTGACCTACCTTATTATCCTTACCAATTATTCGAAGATCACTTGGTACACAATCAAGAATCAAGTAAATTTCATCAGTGAATAGGCTCGTAAATGTAATAATTAACTTATTTTAATTAAGATCCATTACGTCTAATTGATTTTCATTTTGTTCTTCTCAAACGAATATCTTTAGCGAAAAATGCTCAACGAGAGAAATTCAACTCGATCATCGCTAAAGTATATCTAACTATCGGAATGTTTTCTCACTTATTTTATTTGTTCGTACTAGTTTATGTCTCGATCCGATCCATTGGATAGCGAGCAGTTGACAGCAACCGGTTACTCACAAGCAGATGTCAATCTGAAAATTCGAATAATAAAAGTAAGCTCGAACCAAGACACAATGCAGCCTGATTTAAGTGTTGAAATGTCTCGCTAGAATCTACTGGAAAGTCAATTCGATTCGAATCAAACTTTCAAAGCGGCATTCATTGAACAGTCAGCCTGTGAACTAAGATCGTTGCCACTCGGCCGAGATCGATTTGGTGCTGTCTATTGGTTTTTCATGGTTCGTATATTATCTACGTAACATATAACCCTGAGAAAGCATTCTTGAATTATGTCGTAGGATAACGATGGTTTCGTACGATTATTTCGTGAAGATACCGATGATGATCGCACATGGACTAACATTGCCAAGTAGGGGCGAAGTGTGGAGAAGTCATATTCAACAAACTATTTTGTAGAAACCGAAACGAATTAGAAAATTTTGTTCGGCTATTAGTTACTGACTCGATCGTTCGTCAGAGATTTTCTGGTAAGATGTCCATAAAAATTCAATATTTTCTTCAATTTTCTGTTTCTATCGAAAGATTGGGTGATCGATGATGAAGCATTTAGTGCCCTCCCACCCTCAAATGATTTTGAACAGTACTATGTACCGATTCAAGCGAATCTCCGAGATGAAGAGAAGAAAGTGGTGAAGTGTCCGAAACGAAAACGAGGACGAGCAAAATGCTTTACCAAATCACGAAAGAAGAAGAAGAAGAATTTTGTTGAAGCCTCAGATGAACAGGAGAATTCTGATGTTGAAATCGATCAAGAGAAACCACAGATTCGTCAAGAGGAAAAAATTAGATCTGCTGTCGATGAAAGTCAACATGAAGAAACATCTCTCGATGAGATGAGTCTTGCAGTACGTCGATCATCACGAACACGAACACGAAAAGTGCCAACAAGCGAATTTATTTCTCAGGTAAGCAAGTATAATTCTCACCAATAACTGAAGAGCATATTTTTAGATACCTGATCCTCCAACAAGAATGTCAGCAGTCCGTCATTGCCGCCGTCGTCGCCGCCGATCTAGAAGAAGAACTAATCGTCGAAATACTGATGATTACCTATGTTCATCGACATCGAGCTCTGATGAGCATATTGATGATATATCTGAAGACGAAGATGACTACGTCTATCCGGTTGAGGCTGACGATCATTTTTTTGATCTTGAAGAAGAGAACGGTATTACCGCTGATACAAAATTTCATACAGCTAAAACTGCACAGAATTCCACAATAATTACATCTTGTTTTGTTTGCTCAAACGGGGATCGACCGGAAATTTTATTACTCTGCGATGGTTGTAATGATGCATACCATTTGGACTGTCTCACCCCAATACTCGTATCGGTTCCTGATGGCGATTGGTATTGCCCATTGTGTGAACACAGACAGTTGGCAAACCGTTTAATAGCAAAGCTGAAAGACTTGATTAGCAATTTGAATTTGATCGAAGCCAAACAACGAATTCGTTTGTTGAGAAAAACTTCTCAGCGAAAAATCAAAGTGAAAGATTATAGCAGTGATGAGAGCATAACCGCATCTGAATCCGATAAAAATGACGATTCAATGTTATCAACTAGTCAAATAAATGAGAATAGTAATCTATCTTCATCGTACTTTGATGATGAAAAGAGCAGCATAAGTCAGCGCGGTCGATATCGACGAACGCGATTCGATATTAGTAAAATGTTCGACGACGATTATGATGTTGATAACGATACGGAAAAGACGGATATTAATTTACAATTACCAGAAAAAATTACTCGACTATTACATCGACGCGATCGATCAGCAATGAAAAACGATTCACAACTACGAACATTGTCGACATCTGTAAGTCCTCTCGTTTTTTAATTAAGTTTTTAAAAAAAACCTGATCGTTTGTCCTACAAGGTATGTGACTCCTCATTTGATCTCAACGAAAAGCTTGACTCGCCCCTTGTGTATGTCAATGGTGATAGTAGTGCTCGTCAAACGAAATCTGTTGTAACCAATTCGAAACAAACATCGAAAATCGTCCGTCGTTGGAATGATGTCCGACGACGTAGTCGATTGAAAGCATTGTATATGAAGTTATCCAATGAGATAGCTACGTCGGATCACATGGATGATAATTCCGGCCTTGGTCCAGATGACATTTCATTACCTTATTCCAATGATAGCAATAGCAATAGCGGAATTAAAGATGATGATATTGCGATAAATCGAACAAAACTTAGTCAAATTCAAACATTACCAGTAGGATTGACGGAGAAAAGTGCAACGAGAAATCTGAATAAAAAATCGGACGCAAACTTTGATCGACTCACTCAAGATATTCAAAACGCTGTAAATGGTGCACATTCAACATCAATTGGCACATTACCAGTGACATCGGCTATGTAAGTGGAATATTTAGTTATTATCCTCCTAATCATCATTTGTTTCGTCCTTAGACCACAGCAACAGATCAAGCGAAGTCAGAAAGTGAAATTCTCACCATATATGACGAAAAGTCCATCACATTTCCCGCAATTGCCTAGTAATGTTCATGACATTTTCAAATCTAACGCTTAATCATCAAGTGCAATTCATCACTCCTCGGATGTTCTTGACACGTGTGTTACTCAATCAACATCATTGAGCAGCAGTTAATATTTGGCTCATTTCATCATCATTACACTCTCAATCTAAGTCAAAAAGCATTTTTGCTTTTGTCGTATTTAGTCATTCAATAGTTATTTCTATTCTCTTCCGTTTCATGATGAATAATGAAATAAAAAATAAATAGATAAACGTTTCATTTCTCGAAGCAAAGACTGCCAAGTCTCGAGACAATTCTCTTGATTGTGATGTCGATAGAGACATCGAATTGCTCGTGTTGCTTCATCAAACTGGCCAATTACTTAATGGCAAAGCGAGATCAGTCTTTTCCCTTACAAAGTCCTGCGACATAAAAATACGAAACAGGAATATTCATTTGTGATCATTGTTATTATTTCTCAAGAAATTCTATCTTGGCAAACAAATTTACATATACATGAAAAAGAAAATATTAGCATGAATTATTTATAATCTTCACTCTCATGATTAAGAATGGCTTTTACGATATCGAACATGAACCTTTCTTTCTATTTTTATGGCCTTTCCGTTTTGGTGGTCCACTACCAGTCACCCTTCGTTCATCGAGGGTATCGAACCAATCATCAACAGCACCCATCAATACTTTAACAACGTACTTTAAAAGGAAAGAAGATATTTTAATCAAGTTGAGAGCACTGCAATCGTTGAACTTACGTCACCGAAACTAAATGGAAAATCTTTTCCTTGTGCTTTATGGATTTCACTTCGTTCCGATCGATAATCATCAGCAACATCGAGATTTGGAATCTTCTTATCCCAATTATTCAAATAACTACACATAGAACAGAATTTTCAGAATTAATAACAGAAAAAGACATCGTATACTCACCCTATACATTCATCATCATCCGTACAAGCGATGATCGTCACTGGAATGCGATTGATGGGTGTGCGTTGATGTCGAAGAACATGCTCTAATGTTTTCACATCGTGTTGCCCATTCTCGTTTGTTGGAATTCCATCTGTAGCAATAAGAATTAATAATTTGCGTTCTTGAACTTCAAGTTGTTTTTCTTGTAAAACATGTTGAAGAACACGCGCAATCGGTGTAGGCCCTGGAATAACAATATTATATATTCTAAGCTAATTAATTGTTTTTTTCTTATTTACCGGAGGGTGGTACAGCGAAAATAGGAATGAGTTCTTCGGAACCTTTAACATTTCTTTTCGATTCACGATTGAGAAAGAAAATATCTTGCAAATAAAGAAAGACCACCATCGGTGCTGTTCATAGGATTTTCTATACTTACCAACACCATCGGGATCGAAGCTAATTGAAACAGAAAAGGAAACACAAAACTAGAGAGAAACACAATTGAAAAATAACATACACTGAAGCAATGTCAACAACAATAGAAACTGTTTGTCGAAGTTCATCCCATCGTGTTGGATTGTGATCGAACGGACCCGATATATCACCTAAAATATGCCAAAACACTTTTCTATATGAATGAAAGTGATCTTGGGAACATTTTACCGAGCGGTGTATTCATGGATCCTGAATCTAAATGGAAGCACTCATCAATTATTCAACAAGGTAATTGTTGATCAACAAGTCATTTCTTTGTTCTTTTAATTGAAACATTTTCCGATCTTACCGTCAACAATAAATACAATTTCATATCCTTCTAATCCTCTTAATCTTGTAGCAAAGTCTCGATTAATTTCATATCGATTTACTAGGTGTTGAAATTTTGACATGCGTTCATCATTGCTCTGAGGTAACGAATTTGAACCAATTGGATCTGAATACGGAGGTGGAGGTGGCGTAGTTGGATATGCTTGAGGATACATAGGCAATTATTTCTAATGATGTTCGATTACATAAGACATGTTTCTTATTTGATTTATACGGCTTTACTTACTGTTCTTTTTCTTCTATCTGACGTCAACAAGAAATTCTTTTTTTTCAACGAACGAGAAAAATAAACAAAAGTAATCTAAAAATAACTCTATTTCATCAGACTCCTAGTTTGCAGATATAATTATTAATCGAAAAGTGTTGTGCAATCCAATGAGTAACGTCTGATGTGAAGATATGGATGTGTTTCATCTATTTTGACGTCAATTTGTTGACGACACGAATAACATTGACAATAGGAGGAGAAAAGCAAATTCTGGAATGTGACTAACAAACTTCTTTTTCTTCTTTTTTTTTTCTTTTTCCACCAGGCATGCAACAAAATAAGAAAAGAAAAGAATGGAAAACATTCCAGCAAGCGCACACAAACACACACACGCGTAGATAATCTCACATCAGTCGGCTGATTGCTTATCAGAAAAAAAACAAATTTCGTAGTAAAAAAAAAAGAAGAAGAAGGAAAACATGCAAAGCAATAGCCATGAGTGATATATCACTATTAATAAAACTTGTTGAAGTAAATTATGCACATAATTCACGAGAATATACATAATAGTGATTATAAATTTTCATTTGTTGGCCAACGGAGGTTTGACAGCCAAGATAATGGCCACGGCCACCATGACGATGACGCTTCGTCGATGCCTATCATGTTAATGGAAAATCGAACGAAGACTTATTAGATAATAAATAATATGATACAAAGCAGTTAGCAGCAAACGAATAACGTTGCGTTACATTCAGAAATATCAGATAGCGACTGCTGTTATATTGCGTTGAACGTCGAAGGCTTCCTGACAGTTATCTGAACATATTATACGCTTTGTTATAGAATAGTGCAGCTTGGTTTCTTTCGCTTTTGTCCACTACCTTGCCGTATACGTCCGTAGCCATCAGTCAAAACCTTTTTCTCGTCTAAATCATCGAACCAGCTGTCTACACCACCCATTAGTATTTTAACGACATACTTTAGTCAAACAAAGTAAACAATAGACAGAATGATAGATAGTAGAAAAGGTTCACTTACATCACCGAAACTAAATGGAAATTGTTTTCCTTGTCGATTTTGAATCTCTCGTTTCTCATTTCGATAATCATCGACAACATCAAGATACGGAAGTTTCTTATCCCAGTCATTTAAATATCCGATACAATCATCATCATCTACGACACGAAAGTCAAACACTGTCATTGATACACATTAATCCCGAGATAACTTACCAGTGCAAGCAATAATGGTCACAGGTATACGATTAGCAGGTCGACGTTCATGTTTAAGTACATATTCAAACGAACGAATATCTCGATGACCTTGGTTATCAGTTGGCACACCATCAGTTGCTAGAAGTATCAACAGTTTTCGTTCTTCGATCTCATGCTGTTTATCATGTAGTACACGTCGCAGCACAGGAACGATTGGAGTTGGACCTGTGAAGATCAAAACTCATGAGAACAAAAGCTAAATTGAATTGTTCGACGTACCCGCTGGTGGCATCGCAAAGATCGGCGCTACTTCTGACGAATTACGCACGTGAAACATAGGTTCACGATTAAGAAAATAGATATCGACACCATCGGGATCAAGGACACTAGCAATATCAACAACGATCGAGACAGTTTGTTTCAGTTCATCCCCTAGAAAGAATCTCAGTGAGAAGAAACGAATTAGACACACGTGTAAAAATAATTTCATACATCGAGATGGCATTTTATCAAAAGGACCCGACAAATCACCTATGAATAAGACATGACTATTTTCAAATTATACTAAATTAAAGAAGAAATTACCGAGCGGAGTGTTCATGGAACCTGAATCATCGCAAATAAATACTATTTCATAACCTTCTAATGCGCGCAATTTTGTAGCAAATGTATGATTAACTAATAAGAGAATTTCAACGTATAATATGTAGTCTAATGCATGTGAAATGCTTACTCTCATAACGGTCGACAAGTTGCTGAAAACCAACCATGCGTTCTTCACTTGATGTGCGATAACTTGTCGTGGATTCTCGATATTGTTGGTTATCCGATTGCATATCGGAAGTGTATGGCGGAGGGGCAGAAGAAACAGCCGGGTATTGTTGAGGATACATGATTAGTTAATATTCGTGTGTATACTATAAAAGAATGACATGAAGTATTATTTCGCATTTGAAGAAAAAAACTCTTAAGTCGCGGAAATAAATTAGAAAAAGATAGAGATGATGTTGATTTGCATCGAAACGGAAGAAGAATGGCGTGTAGAAATGGTGGCACATTCGTTTTAATGTAAAATCTAATTGTCACTCGATCTAGTCAACTGTCAGTTTTTCTTCTCTTAATCATTATTCATTATAATGAATAGGAAAAGAATCATCATGACTGGCGACAGAGAGAAAAAAGTGCTTCTCACTCACTTTATATTAGTGTAGATAAGAATTATTAAATCAACACTGGATTTCTTTTCTTTCTTTTTTCTTCTAGAATAGCTATATTGATCTTTATACGTATCTGCGACGTATATTTGTCGTTGGTTTTCTCACAAAGATCGTAAAAAGTATCGTCTAATGTGTTTTTTTTTCTGTCTATTTATTTTTCGTTAGTAATACAAGTAGTTGGTTGGTTTGAACAAATGAGAGGAAAAAGGAAAAGAAGAAAAGGGGACAAGAAAAAGAACAAACAAACGCCAAAAAGAGAAAGAGAGAGAGAGAGAGAAAAAACAGGTCGTTCACTACATGAATAAAGTGTCAGAACAAGTTAAACAGATTTAGTTTTGATGAAAAAAGAAACACCATTCCTGGGTAGAAAAACGTGTACAGACAAAAATGAAAAGTATATGTATGTGTGGCACTTCCCATTCAAATTACACACAAATCCCTGAGACAAAGAAAAAGAAGGTGTAGAAAAAAAAATTCTCCATGCGCACAACAACCGACAAACCCTATTATCTTCCCTCTTGTCTCTAACTTCTCATCCGAGTATATTATTTCTCTCATCGAGAGGATGTGTGTAAAAACAAAACCTTTACAATATATGACGTACGCACACAGACATACACATTTATATATTATGTATATGAAGCAATTACATGTGATAGACAACAAAGCTGTACAGAAGAATTTTTTGCTTTTTGAGCAAAACAACTAATCAAACCGCTGTATAGAAGACAAAGACAAGTTTCAAAAAAAAACGAAGAAAAAAAGCAGAAAACAGTGTTGCCGGGCAAAACCCAAAGGAATATCAACATTGCCTGAGCCGTTTATATACAGCAAACAAAGAAAACAGAATATGATAGCGCCCACTGTCACACAATAAAAAAAAAGCAAATAAACAAACAAAAGAAACAACTAACTACAGAATAATAGTAATAGTAGAGAATATGAAAAGAAAAAAACGTAAACTAAACATTAGTTGTCATAATGCGACAAACCATTTGAATTTGTGGATGACAACGGACCACCCAAGTCCGAACTTTTGCTTAAATGTTTCTCTAATTTGGTTATAATATGCTTTCCGTAGGTAAATTTGCGCAGGGATTGAATATGTGGACGAACTTTTTGTAATAGAACTTTTCTTTGAGCTGGTTCAGCGACATCGATCATCTGTGAGAAAAATTAATAAATTTAGTCAATAGTAAATAACGTGTTGAAGTGTAAATGACTTTCTTTGTGTTGCTCAATTAATATTTGACAAGAAAAGAAAAAAAATCGCGACTAAGAGCTCTTCAAAAGTCTAATTATTTTGGTGAAAAACATCGAGCTACTCGAAGCCTCGCCCGAAAAATGAATTGATCGTTTTCAAATCGTTCTGTACAACTCGTTTACACTGTTGAATAAGATTATACATGTAGGAATCGGATATTTAAGCATCGCTCAAAGGAATTCGATCGATGTTGGAAGAAAAGATTTCCCTTCTGAGCTCAAAAACGCATATTTCTCATGAAATATTCTTCGTTAATAAATATAAAAGCACCCGTGAGATTATGACAAAGATTTGAATTCCTCTGACGATTGTGACGACAAGCGCGCATCTTGTATTCATGTACACAATGCTTTTGTTGCTAATAAATTGGCCAATCAAGATTATCGGACAGATTATGAAACATGCATCGATCTTTACTCAGCAGATGAAGTCATGGAAGCTCGCTAGATTACGATCAACAGTACGAGAATTTCTTCTAGCTGTTTAGATTTTAGTTGCCAAGATCGGAATCTTATTAGAGTAAATTACCTTTTGTACGACATAGTTTGCAAATTGATCTTTCATCATGGTTAATAATGCACTATTAGGTCTGAAATAGACGAACATGTTGTATTATATATATTCGAAGAACGCTTTCTTACCCATCACCGAATGAAACGACTTCGTCGATGAGTTGCCGTTTTTCTTCTCGAGTTGCGTACGTGACACACTTTTCAACCACATTACTAAACAGTTAGAGATAGTTTCTATGATCGTTTTGCCCGCATGTCGAATGACTTACCTGGCAAATTTGTGTTGCGATAGATGAAGAACTCGTCCCATGATTGCGTTCACGATTCGACTTCGATCTTCTAGTTTACCATGTTCCAATACATGTTGAATAACATAATTTCCTAGATGAAAAGAAACGCTCATTCGTCATTTGTTCTCTTTCTCAAACATTTTCCCTACGTACCGTACTGATCTTGTACAAGATTTTCTAATTCACTGTATAAAATATCGAGGATAGGTCTTGTTTGCACTTCTTTACAATTTTCAAGTATGCGTTGTATAACACGACATCCGTATGGATGTGCCGATAATTGAAAAACTTGCTTTGTCACATCACGAATGATAAAATCAATATCGTCTCCAGTACAACATTCAATACATTTCTGTATAACATGATTGCCATTTTGATCTTCGATGCATTTAACAATGTTTCCGTCTAATTCTCTGGCTATTAAAACCTGATAATCAGGTTGTAAAGTTTCGACAGCTTTTTGAATGACGCGACAGCCGTACATTTGTAATGCAAGCGTTAATACGTTGCCACGTACACGTTGTGCTAACATAGCTTTATGTTCAGGTGAACCGAATTCGAAAAACTTTTGAATGACATAATTGCCGAAAACATCGGTCATCAATTGTGGAGCATTGGAAAGAATTTCTTTGAAGACCATGTCTTTCTCTGCGTTGGTTGCACGTTCAAGTTTCTGTTGAATAAATCTCGAACCATGTTGATCCATAGAAAACTCCGCAAAATATCCAATAACATCACGTAATTGTAAATTGGGCATTCGACTATTACGAAAATCATCTAGTAGTTTGCTTCGTGTCACAACGGAATCACGTCCTGAATTGGCATTTGCCGTATTTGCACGTGTGTTATTATTTCCTGGTCCACCAAAGACATTAGGTGCGTAGAAGTTCGGCATCGGTGCATTGATTCCACCGACGCTGCGACGTCCAGAATAAGCATCGTTGCCATTTAACATTGGCTGCTGTAACGGTCCTCCTGGTGGCCCCTGTTGAGCTTGAGGAGTATAAAAACGTGGATTGAACAGTCCATCGAATCCTGTGGTATTTGAAGTCGGTGGCGGCGTCATTGAAGTCATCAAAGTATTGTAAGCAGGTGACGGGGGTAAACCACCGGGTAATTGACCGTGAAATAATTGTGTTTGTTGTGGTTGCTGAATTGGTTTTGTTAGACGTGGATCCTGAGGAAGACGAGAGAAATCTTGTAATGGTGCATCACGCCGTTGATTGGGTACTGGATAGGCATCTGCATGAAGAAAACAAATGGGTTCGATGTATGTACATACAAATTGAATTCAGTGAACATACCATTAAATGAACTTGAAAGTGAACTTGCAACTGGACTTCCGTAGATACCAGGTTGAGTGTTTGTATTAACTGAAATGAATACATACAATTGAAGAATCGAAGCGTTTTGATTTCGTAGGACAATAATTTACCTGGTATTGGCATCTGTGTAGGGTACATTCGAAGTCCTGATGATCCGTTCGGCGGACGAGTGTTGGACATCATGATACTTGGATCAAGAAAAGTCGGCGATGCAGCAAAGTATGAGAAGTTCACTAGAATTTCCGGGACGAACGTTTTTTTTGTCCTATCAAAAATCATCGATCGGTCTTACCTGGTGTCTGTGTTGTACGTTGCATATTCATGAATTGTTGAGGTTGTTGATTTGGTTGTGACGTGCTCAATATATCCGTTGAATTGGTTGGTGTTAACGGACGATTCGAATTGGTTTTTGATTGCGGCGAATGTTGTTCGTTGCTTGATGTTTGCTGTTGTGCTAACATAGCTTGCGGAGGTGGTGCTGGAAAAACTACCGGTGGAGGTAACGCTGACCAATATGGTGGTTGACCGAGTAGGGATGGAAGCGAAGCTGGTGATTGATGAAAGCCTGTTAATTGCTGTAAATAATTATCTTGATTCCCATTGATCATATATTGATTCGATGCTGAGCCATACGGTGAATGTTGATTACCTGTTTGTTGTTGAGCAGCCATAGCATTGGGAAGCCATGACATGAGTGGAGGCTGTCCTAAGCCAGCTAATTGATGGTCTTGTTGATTTGAACTATTAGATTGTGGATTAAAAGCTGTCATTATTGATTGACTTTCGTATCTGAAGAAAACAAATAGCGAGGATTTTTTTTCAGTGAAAACGACCAAGTCATAGTTGTACTCACGATTGAGGTTGAATTAATGTGTAATCAAACGTTTGAAAATTCGAAGATGGTGCGTTCATATCATAATTAACTGCCTGTTGTTGTTGTTGAAGCATTTGATATTGTGCTTGAAAACTAGATCACGGATAAAAATCAGTACAATTTCTCAACTATTTTTCACTGTGTGCTTACGCCTGTTGTTGCTGTTGTTGGTAGAGCAATAACTGTTGTTGTTGCTGTTGCTGTTGTTGTTGTTGATGTTGATTATCAGTTTGCATACGTTGGAATGGTATAGGTAGCGATGCTGTTGACATTCCATTCATCATTAAATGTGATTCCGATATTCTACTATCATGTATATCATCACCGGGACGAATGGTGTTTGTTGGAGGAAGATTTTCATTATTAGTACCGTTTGACAGATCTTTTGCTGTGTGAGCAGGCGATGGACGA